GGCCTTGGTGAGTGGTGAGAAGAAACATTTTGGACACAAATATGACTCCGGGTAATTGCCAATGGCCTGGAGTTGTGTTCAGGAGCTCCCTGGCAGAGGATGCTCACAGCCCCTGCTGTTTCTGAGAGGGGACATAATCAGAATGAATTACTGTCTGGTTTAGGGAAGATTTCTCAGCAGCATAATACCTTTACATTTTTTCTTTCCTTGTTAAAGTCTTTTTTTTTTTTTTTCCCCCCCTTGCCAAGTTCCCCTGTGAAAATGGGTATCAGCAATTAACTTTCAATATGACGGGGAAACCCAGCTGTGAGCATATGAGTCGATACAGATTTCAGATTTTCTTTTTTTTTTTGTTGATGTAACCTAAATTAGAGTTTGCTTGGGACCAGAGATAGAATGAGGCTTGGCTTGGAGCAGCAAGACAGGGATTTGTGTTGCTTTTTCTCTTATAGATTTCTCTCCTTACTCTTCTTCCAGCTCCACCCAGCATCTCCCAGGCCCCTGAAACCATCTCTCGTACCCGCGCCAGCACTGCCAGGTTTGTCTGCAAAGCAGAAGGGGAGCCAGCCCCTGCCCTCCACTGGCTGAAGAATGGGGAGGCTCTCCAGTCCAATGGACGTGTGAAAATCCAGAGCAGCGGCAGCCTCGTGATCAACCAGATTGGGCTGGAGGATGCTGGCTACTATCAGTGTATGGCGGAAAACAGGCTGGGCCTGGCCTGTGCCACAGCCAAGCTCTCGGTCATCGTGCGGGAGGGGTTGCCCAGCGCTCCCAAGAGGGTGTCCGCTGTCTCCCTGACCAGCACGACAGTCTTGGTGTCTTGGGAGCGCCCAGAATACCACAGCGAGCAAATTATTGGCTTCTCCTTGCATTACCAGAAGGCTGCAGGTACATGCTGTCTGTGTGCAGGGGGAGGGATACGAAGGCTTTGTATTCCCTTTGGGCTAGGTAGGACAGGGCCCTTCAAGGAGCAGGAGAAAGTGTGGCTGGGGCTGCAGAAGCAAAAGTGCCTGTTGGTTGTTGCTTATCTCATCCTTCAGCCAGGGGTGGGGGGGGAATGAGGTGTTTAGCCCAAGATAGTTCAGGTAGCAGAAGCCTGGGCTTTGCAACACCCCTCCAGAAAAATAGTGCCTATTGAAACATCATCACCATCCCATGTAGATTAGTGCCGTCTGGTGTGTCGGAGGGGTTTCAGAGTAGTTCAGCCTCAATTCATCCAGCATTGCTGTGCTTGCCATTATTGGCACCAAAAGACCAGAGACCTTCTTTAGCTTTGCATAACCACTTGCGCACGTGCAGTGCATGGCACCCGTTAGTTACTGTGCACCCATATTGGGCAGGTGAGTGCCCTTCGATCATTCTTCCACCCAGCAGATTTTAGAGGCCATGTTTATTACTTCTACCATGATGTTTTCCTTCAATAACTGTATAAATTTTCAGAGTTGTTCTTTGTGTCTGGAGCCACTGGCTAAAATGATCCAAATTGGATGTCTAAGGTTAGGCATGTGGAGTTATGATGTGAATCAGAGGCTTGGCTCCCTAAGGCTTGGCTCCTTTGCATGCCTGTGCTTGGTGCGCATCCCTGTATAGCTGCCAAAGAGGCACTTTGGTCCTTAGGCAGATCAGTCTGTGCAGCCACACCTGCCCTTCTGAGCACACTCAGAAGGCTGTACCATGGCTGCGTGAGTAACATTTAAATGCGCGGAGGTAGAGTTAGGGCTTGGCCGATAATTCCCTCCTGGAGATTGAAGTCTGATCATCATTGGGCAGTGATGGGTGACAGATCCTGGGGGAGGCTGGCAGGGGGAAGGGAAGGGCTAAGCAGTAACTATGTCAAAGAGGCCATGGGAGAAGGGATTTGGAGGGAGGTCGCTGGTGACTGCCTGGCTGCTCGCTTCACTGCTGAGCGCTCTGACTTCTGTCCCTAGGAACAGATAATGTGGAGTATCAGTTTGCTGTCAACAACGACACCACGGAGCTGCAAGTCAAAGACCTGGAGCCCAGCACCAACTACGTCTTCTATGTGGTCGCTTACTCCCAGCTGGGAGCGAGTCGGACATCCACACCCATCATTGTTCAGACACTGGAGGATGGTGTGTTGAGCAGGCCTAGGCTGGCGTCTCTGAAACCCACTTCTGCCTGTCCTGAAATGGTTATGTTCCACAGACAGGGAGATAGGCAATGGGGGATGCAGTCTTCAGCTCTCTGAAATCCAGGCATGCTGTCGGAGCAGTCTGGTCACTGTCTGTGAATGTTGTGCGATAGAGCAGTGTAGGTGCCATTGCTGTCCCTAGGTTATAAGGGCAGCCCATGCAGGGGGTATATCATCTGTCTTTCCCAGACACGCACCCTGTCCTCTGGCACTGAACCAGTGAGGAGCCCAGGGTTAGCATCCTTGTCAACAGCAGGTTATCAGCAGTTATGGTAGTGTATGGTAGAGAGCAACCAGGGTTCTCATGACTGGAGGAGTGGGACAGTAAGAGAAATAAGAACTGGTGCCAGTGTATAGATGTGTAGGCTCCAAATTACAGCTAATCTCCAGTCACATGTATGGAAGTAGCTGTTTGCTGTTGCTTGCGGACTGCAGAGAAGTCTCATCTCTTTTTGTTGCCTCTCTCCCAGTGCCTAGTGCAGCCCCTCAGCTCTCCTTGTCAAGCACAACCCCTGCCGACATCAGAGTCACCTGGCTGCCCCTTCCTGTTGAGCTGAGCAACGGCAGGATCACAAAATACAAAATTGACTACTGCACCCTCAAGGAAGGTAAGGCTACAGTTTACATGAGAAGCAGAGCTTGGAGTATGTAGCTTGCACTGCAGTTCTCCAGAGTGTATCATATGTGAACATAGTGTTGGGAGAAGGCTCCAGGGTTGAAACACAGGGATTGGAGTCCTCTGTCTGCCCCGATAGACATACAGCAGTGCAGGTTCCCCTGTCCTTCATACCAAAAGGCCTTAAACTTCACCTTGAAAGGATTAAATAGCAGATTTGTCCTATATCCCGTTCTGTTTTTGGCCTTTGTCTGCTGAGAACTACCATTGCTTTGTTTGTGGATATAACCTCCTGGGTAACTGGACTGAGATTTTCCTTTGGTGCAGTCTAACATGACCCACGTGGAGTGACAGCGTTCGACTGTCCTTGGCACTATCTGTATTTTGAAAGGAGTTTCATATTTATAGGGCAGGTGGATTTGATTAACCTGAAAAGCAATTCTAATAAAGCAGACCATTATGGTAAAATATAAACAAAGATCCTGGCATAGTACGGACATAGCAGTTTCCAAGTTTGGGCTTTGCCTGGTTTTATTGATATCGTTAAGCAAAACCATAAGTGTTCAGCGGGGCCAGGAAAGCTTTCCTATGCTGTATGCAAAGAATCATTTTGGTTCTATCTGTGCTAGCTTCCAGCACTGTCTAATGCTGCAGTTCCAACACTGCCAGTGCTGCAGCCTCTCCACACCAGGGTACATGCTTCCTGCCAAGTAGGGGTCAGAGCACGTGGCAAAGTATCAGCTACCTTCCCACGTCTGTGATTTGTGTTTGTGTTCTGCACCAAGACACCTGGTTCTTGTTTTTATTTTTCCTACCCAGCACCCAAAAATGCCTGCCCAGCACCTGATATTCACTGCAACCCTTTGGAAATGCATGCAGCACAGGCAGCATGTTTGGCAGCTTAGTGTTAAACATCTGTGCCAGAACTCCTCAAAGCTCAAGCATTTAAGTATGGGCATTGCATTTACCATTGAGGCGCTTTGCATCACGAGCTAGGCTGATTGTGGTAGCTTTGCTGCAAGTCTCAAACTGCTCCACTGAAAACACCTATGACCCACGACAGGATGAGAAGGCAGTGTTCAGATCTGGGTTGGGACAAGGTTTAGGCTGGAATCAGGGTTGAGGTGCTTGGTTCAAATTTGAGGTTGAATCAAGGCTAATGTTTGGATGCAGTTAGGAAGGCACTGAAATATGAGATGATGGCCACAGATGTTGGCTGCTCTCACAAGTTGACTGCTATCTTGAATGCTCATGAGTTGTCTGCCATCTGAGTGGTGGGAATTTTCACCTGTTGACTGTTCTTGTCAGATTTCTGACTGCCTCCCGCTGTTTCATGGTTTCAGCTCTGTCCAAATTGGATGTTGATGGGGTGGAGGGGAGTCTTTTAGTTTTGAATGTCACTCCGAATGAGGGCAGGAAGGGGGCCATGGACTGCAGGTTTGAGAGTTTGGGCACATTTCCTGATCAGGGTTAGATCAGGAGATGTTGAGGGAGATTGGCCCTGGAGAGAAAGCCACAGCACACAGAAGTCTCTCACCTCGCCCAAACCTCTTTCATAGACCTTGAGCTGCTGGCCGTCTTCACAGGAGCAAATTTCACGCTGCCTGGGATGGAGACATTTAACTGGTGTCCCCTTGGCCCCAGCAGATCAGATCTCCTCCATTGAAGTTGGTGCAAATGAGACACAAATCACCCTTTACTCACTCCATCCCAATAAAGTCTACAAAGTGCGCATAGCAGCCAGCACGAGCATGGGCTATGGGACCCCCTCGGAGTGGACGCAACATCGCACTCCTGACAGGGACAACCAGACGCACGGTAAGGTGCTCGTATGCTTGGCATGGCTCCTTTCTCTTATCTGTGATGTGAGGGTGGGAAGGCAACATCCTGATACCCTAACTGGAAAGTGGACAAGTGGCCTGACCAAGGCTAGCTAGGTTGTGGTGACACTAGGGTGATCTAGTGTGGAATCCCTATTGCGCTAGAGCCCTACCTGTAGCTCCCTGTTATAGGGGACCAATATGTTTTGCCCTTGTCCTCAAGCTGGATAGCTTGGTGGTACTTTATACCTCAGACACTCCTTAGACTGCTCAAGAGGTGCAAAGGCCCATCAAAAATGCCTGGGTAGCCAAACCAACATGCAAAGCTGAATCAGAAGCCAGTGCATGGGCAGTTAAAGACTGAGATGAAGCTAGCTCCAATTAGGGAAGGTCAGACTTGCCCTGCCAGCTTCCACCATAGTACCAAGTCTCTGCTGTCATGGTCCCTTGCTATGGAGGTGTAGGCCAGTGTAGCAATAGACTCATAACTGTGCCTGCCTATCAGACGTGGAAAGAAAACTGCTCCTCAGGATGCAAGGACCTGCTAATGAGTTCTGAAACATGCTCTCTTTCTCATTGTTCTTCTAGTTCCATTTGCCCCGACTGAGTTAAAAGTGCGAGCAAGGATGGAGTCCCTCCTGATAACGTGGCAACCCCCAGCCAACCATGCCCAGATATCGGGCTACAAACTGTACTACCGAGAAGTGGGAATGGAGGAAGCCAGTGATGAAAGCCCCTCAGACGCCGCTGAAGATGAGAGCTGGGATGTAGGGCCCATAAAGCTAAAGAAGAAAGTGAAGCAGTATGAATTAACTCGACTAGGTTAGCTGGTTAAGTTTTCTCTTTACCAGTGTGCATTTGTTTCATGCTATCCATCTCTTATGGTATAGAAGTCATAGTCCAGAACTGCTAAGAAGGCTCATGGCTATTTGTTGGTGATGCCTTCATATATATATTGCTGTATACTACTGAGTCTGCTAAATATGCATGAGTTGTATAGCTTCTCCCACCAGTGGTTTAGTGCAGGGCTATATTCCAAGAAATTTGTGGGCAGAAGTGAATCCTCCTTTCAGCTCTTTGTAAGAGCAGCTACCACCATACTCCCAAGTGCTAACTTAGTTCTGAAAGAGGGCTTCTGAAATGGAGGCTTTGGCAGAACTTAAATACCGAGACTCCTGAATATTAGTATAGTAAAAGTTTATTGTTTAACTAAGGAGTAAATCTAAGGGTGCATTGATAAAGATTTTCTTGGCTGATACTGATAGCCAATTATTAACCGCCATATCGACGAATAGCTGATCTGGGCAGCTTGGAGAGCAGTGTCCTGCTGGTAAATCTGTGGGGGAAAGGGGTGTGGGGGACAGATTGAGGCCCCCACGGTGAGGGAGGGAGTGGGGCTGGGGCAGGGGCTGCCCAGCCAGGGTGTTGAGTGTCCCCCCGGGGCTAGGAGTGGGATGGAGCCACAGTCAGTTCATCCGGGGGGCTTAAAAGGTGGGGTGCAGGGATGGGGGGCAGCTCCCTGCCACTGTGTGCGCCCCCAGGGGAGGCGTGGGGAGCATGTGCCCTCCCAGATTTGTGCGCTGGGTGAGGGTAGGCTGCCTGCTGTGGGCTCGGGGCCAGGGACAGCACCAGCCTCCTCCTGGCAGCAGGGCTGGCCCGGGGCTGGGCTCAAGGTGGGCAGCAGTGGTGTCGCTGGGAGGGGGGCACTGCGGGTAATTTTGGGGTCCCTCCACTCCCAGGCTCCCCCTAGCGCTGCCCCTGCTCAGGGCACACTGCTGTGCTGCCATTCCCTTGGGAGCCCTGTGCTGGCCACACATCACCTGCCTTCCCCGCAGTGCAGGGCTCTCAAGGGAAAGGCGGTAGAGTGGAGAGCCCCAAGCCAGGGCTGCACTAGGGGGAGCTTGGTAGGCTATAGCCACCCCTCCCAGTGCTAGCTGCTGCTGCCACCCGTCCCGAGCACAGCCCCAGCCCCCCCACTAGGAAGAGGCTAGTGCTGCCTCTGGCCCTGGGTCCCCAGCGGGCAGCCCGCCCTCACCCTGCACATAAATCCTGGTGGGGCACATGCCCATGGCTTCCTTCTGCTCCTGGGCCCAGGGTTGCATTCAGTGCCATGGCTGGGCAGCCCCTACCCCACTCCCTCCCTCACTGTCAGGGCCTTGATCTTCTTCTCCTGTGCCCCTCCCCCCCATGCTTCTTTCCCTCCACAGACTTATTGGCCTGATGCTGCTCTTCAAGCTGCCTGGCTGTGTTCCTGGCCATGTGCATGCAGTAGCTGTGCGCATGCACATGGCATTTATTGGTGACATTATTGACTAGACTGGCCAAGAAAAGCCAGTGGCTTTAGTGTCAATTTTCCTTTTATTGGTGCTGATCTGATATATGACTGATATATTGGTGCGCCTCTAATGAAATCTAGTGTCAGAATGGTAGTAGTGTCTGTATGGGTGGCCTTATCTAAAAATTGAGTTCAGAACCATGCCTGACACATACCCGTGTATTCCAAGCCTGTGTATAAATTAAGGATACACCTGAGAGGCCTGCCCTAGTAAAAATCTAGATGCTAATTAACCCCAACCAGAGCTCTCCTTGTTTTACAGAAAGGGGAAACTGAGGCGGAACGGATAAATGCTCATAGCTGGAGAACCAGTTCTAAGCACAGAAGGGATAAAATCTACAATTTGATCCAAACAAAAACTTTAGCTAAGAGGCTTGCATGGCTGTACTACAAAGGGCTCACCATAGAGCATCTGGCCACAGTGTAGATATCCAGGGAGTCATCAGAGTTGTTGGGGCAAACTCCATTAGTGTTGCTCTCTGATTCCCAGTGCTGCATGTGGGCTAGGTGTTTCTGGTCACATTGGGCTCCTTCACTTTGGACGGCCTGTACATGTGCTGTCAGGAGATAGGGGCATCACAGACTGACAGTCTCATTGTTCCCAAAAAAAAAAGGTCACAACTTCAGTTCGTAGTGTCAAAATTTTGGCCAGATTTAATGTCTACATAGACACCAACATCTATCACCAGTTGGTCCATGGTGCTAGCCAGGCTATTTGCAGACATGGTACAAGCATGAACATTACCCCTAAGCCCAGTACAAAGTATGAAGAGTTCTCTGGTCCCTTTGTATTTAGCGCAGCACCTGGTTGCCAGGTCACTCTGATCTCTCTTGGGGTGTTCTGTACTCATCTTATCAAGTCATTTTCTATCTGTTGGCTTCTGAGGCTCCTCAAACTAATGAGCTACTTTCCCAGCACTTCTATGCATGTCATATGTGGCTGCCTAGTTGTGTATGCACTGGGACCTACATTGGTTCATGCCGTTAGCCAGGTCTCTGTATGGGTTGGGTATGTGCTGACCAGTGGTTGTATTAATCTGTACTCTAGCAAGGCCCATGCACAGTAATTAGTTAATCAGTCAATTAATAAGAACTGGGGGAAGAAGTCACTCGTGCCAGATGCATTTTTTTTTAAACTGGGTGTCTCCTGTTCAGATTCCTTTCCTTCCATGTCTCATGCATCTTTATTGTAGTGGTTGTGTCCGGTAACTAGTTGGTTAATCTGCAGAGGGGAATCTAGGGGACAGATGCCAGCTAGTGTGGGTTGGTGTTGCTCCACCAAGAGTCGCAGCAGGTAGGCCGACTTTCTCCAGCCTAGGGGCTGTTCCACGTCACACCGAACTTTGCTTTATTGACCAAGCCACGCTGTTGGAACAGCAGTCCAAGCGTTTCCCCCACTGGCCTGTTGTACACGTCTCACCTTGCCACGGCTTGCTTGTGGATGCCTTGACCTTCAACGCACAGAAAGACAGCTTGTGACATCTCTGAGTCTGTTTCTTGAGTCACGTGATGGCTGGGCCTCCTAGTAGCATTTGGAGGGTGTTAACAGTTACAAGTTACTGAAGAATTTAGAGCTGTAATTATTACACTGAGGAAACCGCATGTGAATATTATCATGCGCTGTCCTTACCACCGGCTGGCTGGTTAATAGTGACTCAGGAATTATCTGAATTGGTTCCAAATGCTCTGGCATGCCAATACTCAGAAGACTGCTTGTTCCTCCATAATTACTTCCTTAAATTTGGGCATCAATCAAGTCTTGATGGTTTCCTTATGATTTGGTTGATGTGCATTAACTATCCTTGTGTTGTGAACAGTCTCGGATTTCTTCCCACTGGAGATGTTCTCATTTTGTTTATTCTCCTTTCTCCCCACATCGCATGATTGCTCCCACATCCTTGGGAGAGGAAGGGTCTGGATGGGCTGGTTGTATGCTGAGAAGGCAAAAGCTTCTGGGAGTGAGAAACAAGAGGCAAAAGCCCATTGTGATTTGGAGGAAGGGCATATCTTCACTGTAAGGGGAGGTGTGAAGGCAGCACACACAGGTGCCCTTGAGCCACCTTGGCCAGCCACCAGTGTGTGAAGGTGTAGTAGTCTTGTCTTCAGTTTTTGCCAATACAGCTTTCTCATGACCTGTGCTAGTTACCAGAGAGCTAGCATGGGTATAAATCACATCTCCAAATGCAACCTTAAGTATATGTGTAATCTGAGACTATTTTATACAACCCTTATGTTGGCAAGTGCCTACTAAGATGAGTAGTCATTGATTTCCAGAGGACTGTTCACGTGAGTAGGTGCTCACCTGTGAGCAAGTACGGGTTACATGAGCAGCTGGAGAGACTGGGTTTGGGTAAGGAGCAGTGGGAAGTGAGGGGGTTGGAAAACTCCTTGTGTAGGAAATAGAAATAGCTCCTTGTTGTCTGTGTAATTCTGCCATTTGCTGCAGATCCAGGACACTCGCTTCGCAGGGAACAGCTTCTGATTCTGCTGCAAGCTTTGTGCCTCTGGAGTGCAACCGGTGTCCAGGTGCTGCCTCTATCTTGGGGCCTCCCGGCATACTTGCAAGGTGCAGACCTTTGTGAGTGGGTCCTTAAGGAATGGTGTTGCCACCTCAGTTTCCCCCATAACTGAAATGCTCTTTGGAGTCCAGAGACAGGGGCTTTTGGGCTGTGGTTGAGTCCTCCAGGAGCATGTGGCAGGTATAAGCTAGAGACATGCAGATGGGCTTTGCACAGAGTGTCTGAACACACCATTGCTCTTTACTCCGAAGTGTTTGTCCAACAGACCTAAACAAAAGCATTAAATCCTGCCCACATTTTCTTATCTTTGTTTCCTCGCTACTCCGCAGTATTCTTTGGACCCAAGTCAGGATCCTCTGGGATGGGCCAGCATCTTCAGTACAGCTTATAGAGCTGCTGCTAATAGCCAGACTGGGACCTCCCTTTCATGACAGCCTGTCCGTCACCTCCTCTCTCCTGCCCAGTGATTCCTACATGCCTTTGTGAGGATTCTCCCTGTTAATAAGCCTCCCTTTTAACACTGAGCTCTTTTGTCCTGCCTTGGGCAACTTTCCATCATCCAGCCCTCTGCAGTAAGAGAGCTACTGCAGCTTCCTCCAGTTCTGGCCTTCAGCTAATAACTGTAGCATGCCTATTGTGTGGCTGGAGTACAGTCCTTAATGACTCTCCATTGTAGCCAGTCTGGAAAGTCCATTACAGGGTGGGAGACTCATTCATGAAAAAGTTTTAATACAGCATTAATCCAGACATAGATTCCCTAAATCTAGACAAAGGCTTGACCCTGAGAGAAGTAGCGCTCCAAGAACTCTCTCATTGACTTGGAGATATGTCCTTAGTCTTACTCCAACAATTAATAATTAATGACAGGATGCAGCAATCTGGGCTCCGATTTAAAAGGAAAATAACCACTAAGGACCTAATTTTGCTGTCCATATTTATAACTAATAAGTAGCACCTTCCTCTGGGAGTCATCTCAGTGAAGTCAGGTATTTCTTGGTGTAGGGGAAAGTGGTAGAGTTAGCGCCCAAATTAATCCCCTTGAAAATGGATGCAACGCTGTAGTTAGCGTATTGGATAGATTACGCAATCATCCCGATTGCCCGTTTGGAATTATATGGACTAGATTGTTCTGATTATATTTAATCACACGTGTGATGGAAGTGAGGAAAAGATCTGTTTTCATGTGGCCTCCGAGTTCCAGTAGAGAGTCTTGACAGTTTGATGAAATGTCCAGGCTGCATGCTGCAGGAGCGCAAACATCTGGCCCTGCAGTATAAGCAAGGGGGAGGTAAGGGCTCAGGCTGCAAAGCCTGATTTTCCAAAAGCTTCGGTGATGAGATGTTCCTGCTTAGCATGGTCTTAGCTTCCAGTGCCATTTGATATGGGGCATGGTCCTTGTTGGCAGTATTCATAGTTTCATAGTTTCTAGGGCCGGAAGGGACCTGAGTAGATCATCAAATCTGACCCCCTGCCATGGCAGGAAAGAGTACTGGGGTCAAACGACCCGCGCAGGGTGTTCATCTAACCTCCTCTTAAAGACCCCCAGGGTAGGAGCCAGCACCACTTCTCTTGGAAGTTGGTTCCAGATCCTAGCTGCCCTGACCGTGAAGTCGTGCCTCCTGATGTCTAGCCTGAATCTCCCCTCTGCCAGCTTGTGACCGTTATTCCTGGTCACTCGTGGCAGTGCTTGGGGGAACAGGGACTCCCCCAGTGCCTGCTGATCCCCCCGACTAGTTTATAACAGGCCACTAGATCCCCCCTCAGCCTTCTCTTGTGCAGACTGAACAGGTTCAGGTCCCGTAGCCTCTCCTCGTAGGGCCTGCCCTGCTGCCCCCTGATCATGTGAGTAGCTCTCCTCTGGACCCTCTCCATGGTGTCCACATCCCTCCTGAAGTGCGGGGCCCAGAACTGGACGCAGTACTCCAGCTGCGGCCTGACCAGTGCCGCATAGAGGGGGAGGATCACCGCCCTGGACCTGCTCGGGATGCATCTGTGGATGCATGACAAGGTGCGGTTGGCCTTCCTGACTGCATCCCCACACTGCCGGCCCATGTTCATCTTGGAGTCAATGATGACTCCAAGATCCTTTTCTGCCTCTGCACTGACAAAAAGGGAGCTCCCCAGCCTGTAGGTATGGTGCCGGTTGTTCCTCCCCAGGTGCAGCACCTTGCACTTGTCAGTGTTGAATCCCATCCTGTTCTCATCCGCCCACCCCTGTAACATGTCTAGGTCCGATTGTACTGTATTCCAGATGCCAGTGGGAGCTACTTAATACTATTGACAATTTGGCCACATTTTTAAGATCAAGAAGCTCAACTTTGAGCTCCTGTTTTTGTTCAGTCTCGCCTGTGATATTTAGAGACAACATCCTTATTCCTTTAGTCAGGTGTTAGAGCCTGTTCTGACTTGAGAAGACTTGTCCTTTCCTTCCCACCATCATCCAGGCTCTTCCAAGGCAGGTTGTGTCCTGGGACATCCAGAACTCCCTCATGGCTTACCTGTTTCCCATCTGGCCTTCCTGGGATGTGAAGCGGAGAAAACAGTGCTCTTTGTGGCACTCCGCACAGGCACCCTGGGGAAGAAGGGCTGTGAATCAGTCATGTTTCACTGAGCCCGAGGACCCACCCCTTCTGTCGTCCATCTTTCACGGCCCTCTGTCTCGGCACATTTCAGAAATTGCCCTTTGGTCAGAGAGGGCAGGAATACGGGTCAGCCGGTTCCCTTTCTTCCAGTGCTGCCTTTGAGGCAAACAAAACCGTGTTTGCTTATGGGATCCTTTCAGCGAGAAAAATCTGGATGAGATGTTTTTATATTCAGGATGTGAACATGTGCTGTGAAGCAGCAAGAGCCTTTCCAACACCCTCAGGGTAATTGGCACCATTAAGGCCTGGGAGCATAATTGGAGCAGTAATAATAAAATGGGCATAAATAAGAAGCCTTTGTGTGGCTTGCATTGTCTTGGCAAGGGAGCTGGTGATCCATCAGGGCAGGGAGTGAATGGGCACATCCCTAATTAACAAACTTCATCAACTCAGCGTGGCTGAGGGAACCAAGGCGACTGCGGGCGGCTTTTACTGCATTTCTCAACAAGGGACGGGGTGTCCGGGAAGATAATCGCCTGCTGGTCTCTATTTAAAAACTTTGCATCTTTCCTCAAATAAATGACTCTATACAAGGTGGACTCTAATGTACCCCAACATGGCAGGAGAGTGCCTGAGTTTGTGAAAGACAAGAAGAAAGGGGCAAGCCAGCTTTGAAGCAGCCTTTTGGCGCGCCGGAGCTGTGCTTGGCATCTGCTGCAGTCTGTAATGCAGGGCAGACGCTGCCCCTGGTGGGCTCTGTGAGCCCAGCTCTCTCTCGTGGGCCGGTAGAAGCGTGGCCATTGGCACCGAGGTGGTGAGTTCCTTCCAAAAATACCCCATGTTGTGGTGGTGATTCTGCCTGGCAAAGGGACAGGCTCCTGCTGCTGCTGTGATGGGTTTTGTGTGTATGGCACAGTAGTTTGCTTGGCTGTTGAAAACTGAGGGTCATTGTCTGCAGAGGAGAAATGCTTTGGCCTGATTCGGTAATTTCCTGGGCACCCGAATCCTTTGCTGACTGCAGTAGAAGTTTTGGACATGCAGCTAACTACCAGATGTGGCTCCGTAATGTCATCTTATTCCCTGTGTGATGATATGAGGTCTCTTTCTGATCAGAACTATGCCTGGGGGTGGGGGCGAGATCTCGCATCGCTGAGATAGCAAGGCCATGAATTGCCCTGAGACAGATTCACCCACCGGGTTGGCACTCAAATGAGAGGGGCTTTGAGAACAGGGCCCCCTGTCTTTTCTAGATTTTCCAGGGTGTTATTAACGCACATGGATAAACTCAGTACAGGGTGTATGTTTATCTTGGATGGGCGGCATCCATACTGCTGCGCGTGCGTGAGAGAGAGAGGGGAACTTGAGAGGGTTTTTTTTGGTAGTAAGCTCAGTCTTTGGGATTACTTAGTGCTCACCAGCACTGCACCTAGGCAGTTAGTCTGAAGTCAGAGCCCACATTGCTGTGGAAAGCATGCGAGATAAAATATATGAGTGAAGCACTCAGGGTCAGCAACCAGATGGATTTTCCCAGGATTATTCCGACTTTCTCAAGAGAATCCCAGTCGAGATGAGCACAAGCATCTCTTGAAGCATTTTAAGCACTGTCCTCTTGCCATGCAGGAAGTTGATACGATGGGGTTTTTATGCCACGTGAGGGTATTCCAGTAGTTAAATGCAAGGGCCCAAGACTGGGGGGTCCAGAACATCTGGAGTGCTCTGCCACCGATTCCCTCTGTGACCCAGGGCAAGTCACCTTGCTGCTGGTGGCTTTGGTTTCTTCACCTCTATAAGGGCTGACAGCACATTGCAGGGCAGACAGATTAGCCAGTGCTTAAACTTGAAATCCTGTAAACCCAAGGAAGGAACCCAGGGATTTTAAAATCCTTTGATGTCTTGGAGCATGATCAACTTCTGCCAAGGGATTTTCTTTTTGTATGATCAAAAACCTTGTCGATTTCTGCAGCTCCTGGGAGACTCTATGAGGTGAAGTTGGTGGCTTTCACTAAGCATGAAGATGGCTACGCAGCAGTGTGGAAGGGCAAAACAGAGAAGGCACCCATCACAGCAGCGGGTAAGAAACAGCTGTGGGTCTTTGAGGTACTGCTTAGTGATTTCAGCAGCTGCTTTCTGCTCATATGGTCACCTCTGTCCCGCTCTGCTTGTGGTTCTCAAAGGGATGAAAGCAATGGAGATGGACGTGAGAGAAACAAGGGTTGTGATCCCAGCACCGGGGGCTAGCCTAATTATTACCCATGAGACCCTGTCAGAATTTGGAGGCAGGTCACTGCAGTGTGTCTCTTGGAAACCCCTTGCAGGCACATAAGAGTTGAGGGGTCTTTGCTGTCAGGCTCAAAATTAATTTTTCACTGTAAATTATATGAGAAAGTGTCTTGAGGTGGAAGCTGCGGACAGGCTCCCAGTCCCTGTTGCTGTGGGTTTGGTGCTCTGAATTCAGACAGCTTTTCCTGCTGTCCCCTTTCAAAGCCTTTCTCGCTGAGTCAGTCATTGCTAGACAGACCAACCCGACTTTTGTTGGAGTCCCCAGGGCAGTTTTGGTTCCACCCTTTATATCGTAAAGACTTGGAAGGTAATGTGAAAACAGCATTCGACAAGGCAATATTAAGGGAAGGAAAGTAAATACTGTCACAGAGAAGCAGAAGGATGCAGGACTGGGCTCTGGATACCTGTGCTATTCATCTCTAGGGCAGTCAGTTCATCTCTTTAGCCTGCTATTTTCCTACCTGCCCTTGGCCTGGTCAAGTAAGTCAGCCCTTCGGAGGGGCCTGCCTTGATCTCTGCACTCAGATCTCTGTACCATAAAAATGTTGCAAATGCAATAATTTTTCCCTTGCACGCAATAGTAAACAGCAAGAACTTGGCGCAGCACAGTCAGTCATTGCTAGAGAGATTGAGATGAATGCGGAACTTGTTTTCATTACTTATTTTACTTAGTGGTGTTAACCGGGTCATTTGTGGAATCCTTAAAGCTTATTCTATCTATTTGTGGCACTTCTGAGTCCCTCACCATCTTTAATACATATCCCCATGTACACTTGAATAAACATCTCAACTCCCACCCAAGGCAGAGAAGTGCTATAACTTCCTCTTCCTGTTTGACAGATGGGGATTGTGGTTTGGGGAGGTTAGGTATCTTGGCCGAGGTCACGCACAAAGTCTGTGACAGAGCATAGAATTTGAACCTGGGTCATCCTAGCCCCAGGCTCACACCCTACCATTGGGCCCTCCTTTCTCTCCTTGCATTGGTGATAGCTGGCCATTCCCTTCCTGTACCATTTATACGTGTGCATGTTTTCCCTCTTCCTACATATCCCACAGACCCTCCAGTTCAGAAAGGCCCCCCGCTGCCCCCAGTCCAGGTCTATGCAGAGTCCAACAGCTCAACCTCAATTTGGCTAAGGTGGAAGAAGCCAGATTTTACAACAGTCAAGATTGTCAACTACACTGTGCGCTTCAGCCCTTGGGGGCTAAAAAATGCTTCTCTTGTCACATACTACACAAGGTAAAGGTGTGATGGTAAAGACCTGGCCTGGAGAATGCCATCCAGGTGGGATATAAAACATGAGCAGCTGGGGAGATGGCTGAGGAGCTCAGTGGCTTGGCTGATGCTCAGGAAACGTGGGTTTCTGACTTGTGTCTGTGGCTGAGTCCCATGTCAGGACGGCCAGTCCGTGGTGGGTGGCCTTCTGCGATGAAGAAATGTCCACTACCTTAACTACAGAGGTGTGGCATGGACAAACACAGACTCTGTCTTGACCCCAGGGCCCAGGCTACTCTGTGTGCTGCAGTCTAGTTTCCGCACCTCTGCACTGACAAGAAAGCCCATTGCAATATTGCCAGTGCCAAATATTCAGAAATGCCTCCTCTCCTCCCCCACACCAGTTTGGTTCTGGTTTAAAATTTTAAAATTAAACTCCCCCCCCTCCTTTTCTTTTTTTTAAATATTTGCCTTTAAATGAGGATTCTAAATCTTTAATGGGGTTAAGTTTTCAAGCTTTCCAGTGCAAGCCAGTCATCCACAAAGGCTAGAAATTTACTTTTTTTTTTTTTTTTTTAAAGCTGAGAGTCTCACATAACTCCAGGAGCTGGGGCTTTAAACAAGACCCTAACTAGAATGAGACTAGTGATGAAGTCATGAGTTTGATGTGTGGGTTTGACCTACCCTAATTCACCCACATCTTTTATGACTCTTGTGCTGTTGGTGAGGCTCTGATGCAGCAGGACTGGTCCCATCCTCATTTAACCTGCTCCGTGCACATGTATTTCTTGGCAGCTCTGACGAAGATATCCTCATCAGCGGGCTAAAACCCTACACCAAGTATGAGTTTGCAGTGCAGTCTAATGGAGTTGGCATTGATGGGCCATTTGGCAGCGTTGTTGAGCGGTTCACTCTTCCAGACAGTAAGTACCACAGTGTGGCCAAAACATTCCCCCAGGCACTGAGCTGAATACAGCGTGGCCCACCTCATCTCCCCTCACTTGCCCTCCACGTGTGTTCCCAGCTTGTGATGCTTTTTATTCTGAGAGTGCATGTGAAAACAGGCCTTTTACTCATGTCATGAAATGCTCAGGCCTTTGTCTGGCTTGAGCTTGCTAACCCTCAGTTTTTTCTTCTGCGTAACCAGAGCCTGAGAGCTAGGTCTGGGGACGAACAGTCTTGTTCTACAGAAACCCATTTTGGATGGTAGGTTTGAACCAGTTCCTGTGGAGTGGAGAGCCCATTGTTATGGGAGCAGGGTTGTGAGGGAGGCAGAGAAGGTGAAAATAAGAAGGGTGGGTGGGATTAACAGGATCCTTTGCCCTCGCCCAAGAACAAACCATGCGTAAGAAGAGCTTGGCAGTATTCTAGCTCTGTACCTGTTGCAGAGCCGTGCCATTTTGCTAGGGTTTTCCTATTATTACTCTTCATTGCCAGCCAAGACAGATAAGCTGGACATGGCATATCCTTCCTCTCAGCCCTTTGCTCGCACTGTTGGCAGCCACCAGCCAGGCTCACGCAGGTCTCACATGTGGAGGCCACTGAGGTGGATGCTGTGTCCACACCTGCAAACAGCTCTTTTACATGTTTGCATGAGTGGGTGGCACCGAACTCAAGGCCTCCTGAAACTGTGATCCCTCCGGGGCTGAGTGTTCACCTCGTCTGCTGTTGTTTCCCTGGTGTACGTTTGGGCAGCCTTTGTCCTTGTCTCCTCAGGACCATCAACGCCTCCCTCTGACCTCCGGTTGCATCCGATAAACCCCTATGCTGTACAGGTGCACTGGTGCCCGCCCGCTGAGCCCAATGGCATCATTGTGGAGTACCTCATCCTGTACAACGCCAACAACACGGAGCCTGACGACATGTGGACTCTGCTCACAAGAGAAGGTGAGGAGGAGAATGCAGGGTGGTGAGCACGTGTCAACCCAAGTGTCAGATCAGGTTGTCCTTACCCTGTCTCCTTTCGATGCCTTCTCATGGGATTCAGTGTCTCTGCTTTCCAAGGCACGAATCCTGGTGACTGAGGGAAGTCTAATGAGCTGGGAGCATACAGGAGAGGCTGAGCCACCCTGGAATCCAGCTACAGAGGAGGCCATGGGGAACCCACAGCTGAGCGTGAAGCTATGAGTGCTGAGAGCGAGGACATGGGAGGAGAAAGGCGAGTCCCCAGAAGTGGGGGGCTGCCTGTCTCCCAGACTTCCTGCAGCACTGAGCTCTCTGTGCATCATAGCAGTGGGATGGAAAGAAGCAGAGGCAGCTGGTGGGATTTCAGCTGACTGAGCAATGGGGCTGTGCCTCTGAGATAAGAGGGAGGTGGGGAGGGTTCTGGACCAGAGGCCTGCCCCTTTACAAGCCGTGCTCCATGTGGACATGTGTTTGGAAGCAGGGCCTGGGGGGGGAGGCTTGTTAGCACATTGGCCAGCTCAGGGTGTCCACGGGTGGCTTGCTGATGGAGCAGAGCAGGGTTGGCAGTATCCATCTGCTGGGTGCTGCTTGGGGACGGGGGCCTGAAGACAGTGCAGACGGAGCACATGCTAGGAGCAGCGGTGGGTGGAAAGGCTGTGGGGAAAGTGCAGAGAGAAGCCAGGAGCTGTGCTGCTCAGTGCCCTGAGGGGGAATGTCTCTGAAAGGGCCTCACTCTCAGGGCTGGATGATGCTGAGTGGCGGAGGCTGCCGGCCATGTACATAGACATGCATCTGGATTAGCCACTGAAGGGAGCTCACAGCTGGGGGGAGTTCTGATCCTGCCGACACTTCCCGCTGCCTAACCCCATGCCTGTGGGTCATCCTGCTAGCTCCAGTGGCATGGGCTTAGCAGGGAGGGCCTAGAGGCACAGATATTAAATCATTTTTGCAGGTGTCCGGGCCAGAAAAGCCAGTTAGGATCAGTAGTGCAGGCCTGGGGATTTTCCTCAGGTATCCCTACTGGGAACCTGTTCGTGAGGAACAGGAAGGAGGTGTAGCTGTGTCAGAAGCTGCAGTGTCCAAGTTACACACATACCAGGTCAGGTTTAAGGCCACAAATTAGTCATCTGAAACATCATTGTTTTGGTGTCGGGAGTCTGTTTCCTGAGAGTGTGTGGCACAAAGACTCTGCTAGCTCAGCCAGAGAGACAGAGCCCACGACCACCTTTCTGCTGTCCCCGCGATGGCCTTTAAATGGCACATTTTAACTTGCTTTTGATCAGGAAATATTTTCAGCACCGAAGTGCATGGATTGGAAAGTGACACCCGGTATTTCTTTAAGATGGGAGCCAAGACCGTGGTGGGATCAGGGCCATATTCCAACGTGAAGGACGTGCACACCCTGCGGGAGAAGCTGTCTGGTATGAGGGCACCATTCTTCCTCCCTCGGGGCCTGGGCTGTACTCGGGAGGGGTCGCTCACCTGGCTCCACCAGTGCTTATATTTAGCAGTGGCAGCTGGCTGGGCTTGCATGCATGTATGCAAAAAGGCCTGATGACACTGCAGGCTCTGCACAGACCTAGCCCAATGCCAGGTGTCGCACACAAGACTTCGTGTGCACAGCACTCGCTGACGGCTGTATCTGTCCCTGGGTAGGGTTTGATCCCAATAACCTACCTCTCCCCCTAATGAAGGGTCACACAAAGTGGACTTTGCTGCCTGTGTGCCAGGCCTTGCAGCAAGAAATTAAATGGGGATGTTAGTGCACTCCCAAATCTGCTTGAATGATCACTGTCTAGTCATTTTATCCCCTTGTGTTTTCCTGTGTGCACACACACTCCCATGTACATATATGAGGTATATGTCCAAATTGGGGCAGCAGCTTTCCTTTCCCCTTGACTGGAGAACACTAGATCTGTTCCTCAGGCCCGTGTGGAAATCTGGCATTTCCCTTGGTGAAGCTGGTGCTGATATGGATGCACCACGCTCTCTGTGTCCCTCTCTGTTAACGTGCGAGCTGACAACTCGACTGTGTCCTGCTAGATGTCCTGGACATCCATTCGGTCACGGGGATCATCGTGGGAGTCTGTCTGGGCCTGCTCTGCATCCTCTTCTGCATGTGTGCCAGCTTCCGCAGCAGCAAGCAGAGGTACGCCACATGTTGGCCACCCGGTTGAGAGCCAAGGCGCTGATGTGAGGCCAGACAAAAGGGCCTAGGAGTGTCTTTGCCATGTGCCAATGGGCTGGTTTTCCCTGGCTGTTTCAGGACTGTATCCTGTGCCACTCAGCATAAGAAATGGTCCTTGGAAGTGTGTGCTTTAACGAACGCTGCCTGATTTAGCTTCTCTTTAATTTGCATTCTTTAAGCCGTTGCTTCTTGCAGCTCAGTGGAACGTGAAGTGCCCTGTCAGAGAAGAGTATCATCCCTTGTTCCCCTTAGTGCAGGTAGAGACTGGCTCCTGCTTGCATCCTGCTGTTTAGGGACCAGGCAGGTATTGATATGAAGGCACTGAACAGCTCTGCCAGTCTCCCTTTAGGAAACCTATTCTGTTCCTGCATTCCCCTTTGTTCTCATGAGGCTGTTGTTTCCTAGGAAAACCTCCTTCCTTCCGCATATAATTGAGTGGGTTGGCGTGGTCGGGGCCATAGCTACACTTGGGGCAGTTTCAGTGACTTCTGCTAGCCCCAAAAGCCTCGCTCTTGCCTGATGCTTCTGCCGGAGGATGTCGTTTGGAGTCCACCAAAGCTGTCATTTTAGAGAGAGGCTGTGTCAGCTGGGTAGGAAGGGGCTGGTGCAGGCCTGGGAGGCGGGAGCTCCTCGAAGTCTTACCCACGTCCTGTCACTCAGCCCTCTCAAAACTCACCTCCTTCACGTGTCTGCAGACAAGGATGACCAACCTTTGTCACCTTGCAAAGAGAGTGGCAAGGGTTAATGAGAGGTAACTCTCCCTGCTCTGTGTCAGGAAGCTGCTCTGAGCCTTACCCACTGACCTGCTGGGGAGGGAACGGTTGCAGTGTCCATGCACTGTGCAGGGCTCTGGGCGGACCCAGTGCCCACTAGCGAAGCAGAGCAGGGCCAGGGCCAGCAGCTGGCGCTTTCATCCACAGCTTCCCAACAAGACCTGCTGTAGCAGCCACAGGGTGGGTGGAAGATTTCGGGCTCTGTTAGTACAAGTGCAAGGATTGGGGCAGAACCTCTGGGGCCCTATCTTGGGCCCAGCAGCGGGGCACTTGGATTTCATGCTTTGGGCCTTGGCATCTACTAGCCTGGCAGGGCAAGAGCAAGGCTGTGGTAGTCCCAGGGGAAAACCTGTGTTGGATTTTCTTGTCCCCTGCAGGGAGGCCCTGCCAGGTGTTGATCCTCAGGCGGCCACAAACCACACCTACTACCATCGTGGCCGGCAGGGGCTGCCTGCACCCAGCGCCCACTCCGATGCCCACGAGCTGGAGTCCCTCATGTCCCCACTTCCGGAGGAGACTCCTGTGCCCCTGACGGATATCACGGAGCTGACAGAAGTGCATGGCCTCATCCACACCAGCCTGCAGGGCGATGGCATCCACGGAAATAGGAAGGTAATTACTGCACTTGCTGGGCAGAGACTGGGTCTGATTTCAGCTCTGGGCTGGAAGGTGCTGAGCTCTGTGGACCATTGCCAGGGTGCAGTACTGGCAAGACCTTCTTCCGTAGCAGTGGATGCTGGGCAGCTGTGAGTATCAATTGCGTTCCCTTTTGTTTCTGCAATACAGTGGTCCTGGACTATTTGCAAACACAGTGGGTGTGAGGATCCAGCACCTTAAGTATCCCCTAGTTCTTAAACCATGAATTAGCCATGTAATTATTCTGTTGACATCAGTGCTAGGAGTAGGCAAATCTTGTCCCCCAGGTGCCTGGGTTGTGTGTTCGGCAGGGCAAAGCATGGAGAGGAAGGACTCCTCTTCTCTTGGTTTGCCAAGCACCTGAGGAGTTGATCCCTGAATCCCTGAATGTTCCCATATCTTTCAGGGAGCAGTGGATCCCAGGACTTCAGTGATCCCCCCTGGGGAGCAGGTGAAATTGTGAATGGATTATTAATGGATAGGCACGGGATCTTGACCGGCTGCTTCTGCTGTACATGTCCAGTTTTGCCTTCTCTCTACTAAGCACTGCCCCTGGTTTATTGAGAAGATCTGCAGGTCCCTGCATTGGTGTTGCTGAGTATTTCTTCTCCAGCTAGAGGCAGTCTTGTCCACATAGAGATAGGCAAAGGCTTATTCCCAGCTGGTAACTGTGGATGGGAAGACATGTATGTCAAGCTGCCCCTCACTACCAGAGATCCAAAAAGACATGTCTCTCCCTCTGGCTTCATAGGCGCAGCACCAACATGGCCATCCTACAGGACCAAACCATCACTGCGTTATGAAATCTAATAGCGCTTTAGAACTAATGGAGTTCTGTAGAAAACTAACAGCAACTGTTGAATTACCTTGAAATTCTCCCATATTTGAGAGACTGAATATCCCTTCTGTAAGGTTTTCTCTACCCTCCTGTGCAATTCTTTCAAAGCAACATAATTCTCTGCTACATTTTATAAGAAGGTTTAAGTTGTGAAGTCTTCCTTACCTGTGTAGTGTTGCTGTACTTTTTCCATAAGATGCCAAGAGCTGGAGCCTGCAGAAACATTACATGGAGATCTCCTACTTAGAGGTGTCATGCAGATTGGTCACAGATTTTAGTTCTGTGTCAAAATGTGGGCAGAGAAGCAGTATTGTATTAAGGACTTCATCTGCCCACTTGGCCCACTAGCTCATAGTGATATCCTGTTGGATGCTGATGCTTGTTAGAAATGAGCCAAAGTCCCCAACATTTTGGATTGGGCTCCCAACCTGAGGGTTGGGTTGGGTTTGGTTTAGACCAGTCTTTAGTGGTTATGGGGTGGATTGAAAGCCCCCTGAAGTAGCAAGGAAGAGTCGTGTTAAGTTCAGTAGGATTTAGGTTAGGGTGTGTGTTAGCACCTTGAACCATGCTGTGGAGTGAGTCCATCAAAGCACATGCCAGCCATATGCTGCAGCTCTACATGGGAGAATTCCTTCCTGCCTTTTGGTAAGAAAGGGAGTGGTCAACTCCATTTAATTTGCATTTGCAAGGCAGGCTCATTTGCAAGTCTGGTGGCATTTCACCACAGTGACCGGGAGGTTTGACTTTCTGCGGGAGTTCTGTGCAAGGGTCTTGGGGCAGCAGACACATCAGAGCTGGATGTCTTCCTAAAAGAGATGCTGTCACTCAGACAGAGGGTGGAAATGGCTGAGCAGAAATGGCTGCATGAAGTTTGACAGCCTGGAGGTAGGAAGTTGCACTAGGCCAGTGATTCTCAACCAGGTTGTCATGAGCTTCTTTTAAGGGTGTCACAGGCTGCTGTGCAGTATTGGCACTTAGTTGTGCGAACACTTCCAGATGGGTTTGGACACTGAATTCCTGTCTGCCCTGTTGTGGGTTTTCTGTGTTCATTGCAACAGGAGAATTGCTCTAGTATTTTTCCACAGTCAGAAACGAGTGAAAGCCAACTGCAGGTATTTTCTGAGGGGGACCTTGTGTCTGAAAAGGTTGAGAACCACTGCACTAGGTGATTGTGATAGCCCTCTCTTGCAGTCCCTGGAAGCAGGTTGAAGCACCTGCTGAGAGAGTGCAGAACAAGATGACAGTGCATCTGCGGACTATATAATACGATTCCCCATCTCTTGAAAGGTGATGACATACCTTTGTCCTCATGTCTGTCCAGCACCTCCCAGAAATGGGGGCCTGGCGTACCACCAGGGTTCTGGGAGCTTGGGCGATGCAAATAAGAAACCGAGCATTGCATGCACCACCAGCGTGCATCTCCTGGGAACCTGTAGGGAGTTCTTTAAGCCCATGGCTTTATCCTGTGTTGCTGCAGATGTTCTCGTGCTCCACCACCTTTTTGTGGATCATGCTAAGCTGGGGGCCATGGTGAGCTCTTGTGGCCGGGGGAGGTGGTCCTGCAGTGTGTAGCAGCTGAGGTTCCAGTACTGATATTCAGATGCACAAAATTCATCGGCGTTGCACAGACGCTCTAGTGTAAACTGTGAACTCTGGCGAGTATCACGTTTGCTCGACTCCGTGCAGAGTGAACGTAGGAGGGAAGCAAACACCTTTGGAATGAGCTCAGTGGGAATGTGCTTTTTTGACGTATTCTCTCCTTTCTGCTTAATTTGCCTGACGTTGGGTTGTCTCTCCCTTCTCCCTGCCCGTTTTCTCTCTCAAGCTTGTCTGAAGCATTTCATTCCATTAGGGAGCCATTAATTGGCCTAATTTAGTTAATCTGTTTATGTCTTTCTTTGTAACCCAGCGAGAGCATGTAAGGTAATTAGGAGGTTGAGTAAAACAAGCACATTGTGAGCACATGGGAGTTCATGTTTGCATCAATCATACGCTTGTATGTCACTGGTGCGAAGGTGTATTTGGGATAATCAAATCTATGTAAGGGGGGTATGATGGAGCTGCCCTGCAGCTCAGATGCAGTTTGCCTCTTCCAATTTTCCACATCCCAATCTGCTTGTGATGCCTTCTTGAAATGGTCGCTTAGCCCCTGAGATTTGGTTCTGGGGGCTGTGAGCTTAAAAATTTTGTCCCTTTCCTCCCTCCTTCTGGGTGTAATAAACCTAGATCTGTCTTCCAGTAGGGCCCAGGTAGGCTCTTTTCTCGCCGAGGCAAGCTCTCCTCTTAGAAGGAGCCAGGAGCTCAGAGTGTTAGTCACCCGCCCTTTGGGCTGAGCCTGTGAGAGGCAGAAGCCCCAAACTTTCAGCTCAGAGCGTGGTCTGACACGTGGCCAGTTTATGGCCTCCCAGATCAAGAGCATCTGAGACCTTCGAATGTGACTATGGAGATGGGTGCGTCTCAAACCCCAGCACTGTGACACCCCCAGGTTCCTCCTTGGATCAGAGAGGGGTTCCTGATGCCCTTGGAAACCTATATCCTCCTCTTGGGAGCAGGGCTGCAGCAGCAGTGTCAGCCAGACCTCTGATCTGCCAATGCTCAGGGCACTCCTCTGCTGGCCCCTTCTAGGTGGATGCACGTGGAAGAGTGCAAGGGTTTTTGCCCTCAGACTCTACCCCAGGCCAGGTGCTCTGAACTCAGCAAAGCTGGGCCCTGATTCAGCGAAGAGCAAGTGCATCGAGTCAAGGATGTGTTTCACAGCTTCTCTGAATCAGGGCCTGAGTTACCCTGGGGGCTGAGGCTAGATCCCTGCTCCCCAGGCCAGCCCACAGGGCAGGGTGATGGATTCCCCACCTGGATGCAGCAGCCTTCCAGAGGTGGTGTCAACCATGGGGCCTACCTGGGGCCTGCCTCCCCATGCCCTGGCGCATAGCCGGGGCTGCAACATGAGCGAGCCCTTCTCAAACAAAGAAGGGTCCGATGGCCTGGGACCAGCCAGGGACTTGGGAGGTGTCCATACAGCTCTGCCACAGGCTGCTTTGTGACCTTGAGCGAGTCATTTAGCCTCTCTGGGTCTGGTCCCCTCCTGCGAAATGGGGACGCTAGCACGTGTATCTCGGGGCAGGGGGCACATGCATTAGAGACTGGGAGGCGCTCAAATCTGACAGAGACATTGGACCAGAGGTCCGCAGGCTGTTGAACCTGTGATTTAGAGTCAGGGTTTTCTTCAGCAGCAGCTCTAGCCCCTGCCATCACTGACTTCTTACTGGGCATGGATGCTGGCTTGGTCAAGTATGTAGGGCTTCAGTTGCATCTACTTTAAAACCTGGCAGAAGTCATCTGTGCTTTAGCCCTCTGCAGACGATTCAGAAGGTTTCCGCTGAAAGAATCAGAGCTTTGTTTTGTTACAAAGGGACAAAATGCCAATGGACAGGCCCATGTTCTGCAAAGAGCAGCCGTGACAGCCTGGATGTGCGTGTACAGGACACAGAGACCTTAGCAAGCCCCCCCCCCAGTGATCCGGCCCTTGACACCTCTCCTCCAAAGGAGAAGCTGGCAACAGGCTGTGGTAGCAGCCAAGAGTGGCCACTGGAGGGAGACCTCATCACATGCAGTAAACACGTGTCTTCCGAACCTCCACATCGTGAAACGTGTGTGCACCTAACACGAGCATGCAGTAAGCGTGCACTCCCCAGCCATGGGCACCACGCCAGGACCCTTGGGCACCTGGACTTCGAAACTTGTAGGGGAGCTGCGGTTGTTTGATCCTGTGTAGAACAGAAGAGAAGAGGCTGCGGCCGCTTGCTTCTGGCACAGATTCTGGACATGACCTTGGGTAAGTCACTTATCATCTGGGCTCCTTAGTTTCTTCATCTGCAGCATGGAGCTGGTGCTACTTTCCCCCAGTCAGGGGCACTGATGTTGGGGCATAGCTTATCTGCAGCAATTAAATACAGCACATCTTTTCCATTCATGGCTGCGCAGTGCCATGGCACTGCTAGCCTCTGCTGAGTCTCCTCACAAGGAGGCCGATGGTGCCATTGCCCATCCCTGGGGAGCCCCTGGCTGTGGATCCCCACAGTGCCCTCAGGCTTTGCTGGGTGCCAGGATAGTCCTCAAGGGCCATCACCGACCTGTCACT